ATCAAAATCAATTTTATATATAAAAAAAAAAAATAAATATAAAATAAAATATAAATAATTTTTAAATATTTAAAAAGAAATTAATAATAAAAATAAGAAAATAAAATTAATAAAAAATTTATTTTTTTATCAATTATGTATAATATAAAATAAAATTAATTTAATATTAAATAGGATTAATAGTTAAATTAATTCTTTAAAAGATTTTATTTTAATCTAGATTATATATTTGAAATGACAACTTTGAATTATTTTTTTGAAATAATTTTTTTTATCATTTTTAAAAATATTTCTTTATCATTATAAAGAAATGATTATTTTTATTATTCTAATCAATAATAAAAAATAAATTATTGAATTAAAATAATTATATTATTCTAACAAATTATAAAATAAAAATTATTTGATTAAAATGATTATATTATTTTAATTGAATGATAATTAAAAAATCGTTTGATTAGAATGATTATATTATTTTAATCAAATAATAAACAAAATTATTTGATTAGAATAATTATATTATTCTAATAAAAAATTGTTTAATTAAATTAATTACATTATTCTAACTGAATAATAAAATAAAAATTATTCAAATAAAATGATTATATTATTCTAAATGAATAATAAATATAAAATTATTTAATTAGAATGATTATATTATTTTAATTGAATAATAAATAAAAATATGATTTTATTGATATTATTATAATAAATTATTTTGATAAATTATTTCTGATTTACTTTTAAATCTTATATTAATTTAATATATTATTCAATATATTATTTGAGTTTATTTCTAATATATATAGGAATATTTATATAAATAAGTTTAATTTTTCACTTTTTAAAAAATAATTTCAATTTAAACTTTATATTTTTACAATTATTTTTAAATTTTCTCTTTTTTATATACTATCATAATACTGAAAAAAATTGTTTTAAGAATAAAAAGAACTTAAGTTAAATTTTATCAATCAAACAGTTAATTTTTCAAATAATAAACTGATTTTTTTACTTTATATAATAGAAACATATCTCTAACTTTTAAATCAGATAAAAAAAGCTAAAACTTAAATTAAATTTTAGTCAATTTTTCAAAATAATAAACTGATTTTTTACTTTTATAATAGAAACATACCTTTAACTATCAAATCAGATGAAGGAAAAGCTAAAACTTAAGTTAAATTTTAGTTAATTTTTTAAAATAATAAACTGATTTTTTTATTTTTTATAATAGAATCATACCTCTAACTATCAAAATTAAATGAAACTCAAGTTGGATTTTATTAATTAATCAGTCAACTTTTTGAATAATAAATTAAATTTTTTATTTTCTATAATAGAAATATACAGTCAACTTTTGATATAGTGAACTCTTGATATAATGAATTTTTTGAACAAATATAATAAAAATACTCTTATTATAACAAATTGATTAATCAAATCTCTTAAAATCTTCACTATAACCTTATAGCGAAGTTGAGATTTAGGATATAAAGTTCATTATAACAAGAGTTAACTATATTTCTAACTATTAAATCAGATAAAATTTAAATTAAATTTTATTAATTAATCAGTTAACTTTTCAAATAATAAACCTTATTTTTTACTTCTATAATAGAAAAAGATAATTCAAGTGATTTAGTAAGAAAATGTAGATTTTTTATTTTTTATTATTTTATTATTATTTTTTACATTTTTAAACAATTTTAAAAAATTTTTAAAGGAAAATAAATCATATTTTTATTATTTTATTATTTTTTTTTTAAAAATAATAATATTATGTTAATAAATATTTAGAATAATTTAAGAAGATTTTAAAAGAAAAATGGATTATATTTTTATTATTTTACACAGTTTTTCATTTTTTTGCTTATATTTTTAAATAAAAAATTAATTAGTGGGTTTTGATAATATTTTTGTTATATTTTACAAATTATATTAGATTTTATTATTAATAAAATTTTAATATTTAATAAATTTAATAATATAATATATTGATTTTATATACTTATTTGACTGAATTAATACTAAATTAAGACTAATTTTAAGCTGAGTTATAGTTATTTAAGTTTTAAATTAATGCTGAATTAATGCTGAATTAAGGCTAATTTTAGGTTGATTTATAGTTGTTTAAGTTCTAAATTAATACTGAATTAATATTGAATTAAAATTAATTTTAGACTAATTTATAATTAAATTGAAACAATATTTATAGTTAATCAGCTAGAATACTAACTATCTTAAAATAATAAAGAAAATAATTTTTTTTAATTCAGCTATATAAAAGTTGACTAGAATTGTAAAATTTGATATTATTAATAAAGATGATATATTATAAGATAAGGTATTTTATATTTTTATTATAATGATGTTATTATATTTAAATTTATATTAATATTTAATTTACATTGTATAATAAAGCTTTTTAACTATTAAATAAAAAAATAAAAGATTATTGCAAAAAAAAAATTTTATTTTTTAAATTAATAAAATATAAAAAAAAAATTGTTATAAATAAAACTTATTATAAAAATTATTTTATATATAATTAATTAGTTTTTAATGCAATTTTATTAATATAAATAATGCTTAATAAAAGTTATTAATATTTGATAATGATTTTTTATCTGATAAATAATTTTTTACTTAATAAATAATTTATTATAATCATTAAAATCATAGAATATTAAATAATAAAATTATTTTAAAATTTATAATTATAAAATTTTATTATAAAATATATAAGTAAAACTGAAAAATTTATATTACTAAATTTAGAATTTAATAATAAAGAAATAATACTTATAATATATAATATATATATATTTTATTTTAATAAAAAATTATGAGATATAAATAAAATTATTATATTATAAAAAATGTTAAATAATATTTATTGAATTTTTATCAAAAAAATATAATTAGTTTAATAAAATATATAATATATATTTTGATATAAATTAATAAATTACTAATTAAATTGTATTTTAACTGATATAATTATTTTATAATAAATATCAAATTGATGTAATTAATTTTAATATTATCAAAATTTATCAATGCTAAAATATAATATAATAAAATCAAAATTTTTCTTTTATATTTAAAGAGATATATATTGTTATTATAAAATTCTTAATTCAGATTAATATGTCTCTAATTCTTTACTTGAGATTACTAACTGTAACTAAGACATTAGAATTTGTCTAACTTTTAGATTACTAAATTTACATATTAAATCTATCAAATCTATCAAGTATAAAGATTGAAGATAAAAATATAAAAAATTTTAATTAAAGAATTCAAATAATGAACTTAATTACAAATTTTATGTAAGAATCATATCAAACTATATGAATATATAAAATGTAAAAAGATATAAATTTTAATTGATTACTTTATTAATATTAAAATTTAAATTTATAAAGAGATATTTACAAATTGAGCAAAAGTTATTCTATTATACAAAAATTAATTTATTATGATTAACTACTTATTATATTATAAATTAATTAAATATAAATATATAATAATAAAATATACTTAAATATAATAAAATAATAAAAAGAAATAAAATAAATTATAGATATTAAAAAATTACAGATAAAACAGAATAAATAGAATAAATAGGTTATACAAAAAATACAGGAGAAATAGAAAAAATAGGTGAAACAGAAATTATTGTTGATTACTGTTTAATGCAATTAAGAGACCATCTAATATGAGATTATTATAATCAGAAAATTTCATATGATATTTAGAGTTGCAATTTCTTTCATTAATAATATTTATCTTTAATAAATAAAAATTGAAAAATTATAAGATAAATAAACAAGTATATATCTAATAAATCAAGTAAAACAAAAGTAATTTCAACTTAACATATTAAAAGCATATCATTATATTTAGGTATTTTTTTTATATATCTTATTTTTTAACATTTAAAGATAGAAGATAAAACAAGGAATAAAATCTAAGGTTAAGAATTAGAAATAATAATTAAAATTAAATTTTAAGACTTATTTTTAATAATAGAATATTTGCATTTAATAATGCTTTATAGCTAGCAAAATAAATTTAAAACCTGATGGTAAATAATCATAAGGGATATAATTTTTAAATTAAAAATTAAAGAAATCTAATATGAATTAATTTATAAAAAGATGATTTAAATGCTAAATTGTTATTTATATAAAAATAAGATAGACAATATCTAGAACATATTATGGATTGTTTTATTTATTCTGATTTATGAATACAGAAAAGTGCATTTAAAAGAAAAAATGTTAGAAACTAAACATAAATGTATTTTTATCAACTTTAGACCTATTAATATGATTGTAATAAGATTTGCAAGAAAGGCATTGATATATGGATTTAAGAGAAATGGGATTACGGGCAAATTGGCAGAATATGTTAAAAAATATAACTACCGGGTTATGTATTAGAAGAATTAAATAATACACGTATTGCAAACCATCGAAGTCACATGATATATCGAGAAATGTTCGTGTGACAATATTTAAGTCTTTTCCAAGTTTGTCTAGTTTATCTTTCACAGCATAGATATTGGCAAGATAAATGACACGTCTGATGAGTTAAAATATTTTTTTTTCTTGGAGAAAGTAAAATATACGCCTAGCAATGCATGCATTTATAAATGCATACAAATATTTACCTAATGAACATTAGCCCATAATATATATTTATAAGGGATAAATTCCATGGAAAAAAATATTTTTTTTTCATACCGACTTTACCTATTTGTTTACAACCAAAAGTAATTATTAAACAATTTCAAAAGACGGAACATTAAATATTTTATGTTCCTGTAAAATAAAAGATTTATATTAATGTTTAAAATATTACATAATATTATAATTATAATAATAATAATGTCTATTTACAAATATTTCTAAATTGCGAAAATACTGTATGATGATGAATGCTATTACAAATGATATATTTCCAACCCACCCACCAGCTTCAGCTTAAGATTATATAGTTTGATCACGAATGGAAAGTGTGGACAAGTTAATTTTTTGAGTCAATATTAATGTATCAAGTCTTTCTTTCCATTTTTCAGTTTTCCAAGTGTCATAACCAGACAAATGAGTCGGGTTATAAATAATTAAAACCAACTCATTGATGTTTTGACAACATTCAAAAGCCATATCACCAGATACTTCTAAATCATGAATATTAAGACCCAATTGTCGTAAAGAATTTCCATATACTTGTAACATAGATAATGTGACATTTTGTAATTTCAAAGAATTAATTATGTGTAAATTTTGTAAATTAAAATGTCCTTCGAGTAAAGTACTAGTTAAACCCTCACAATAATATAAATAGAGACTTTCTAAATTATGAAAATTATTTAATAAATTCATTGAACCTTCGGTGAGGTAGACACAATCCAACTTGATCGAGTGCAAACAAATTTTGTGAGATTGTAAAGAAGACATGATTTGTTCAAAATTTATCATTATATTTGCAATACTGAATTCCATAAGATCCCTTTGAGATGTGATAAGATTCGTGAAATGATTGATCACTTCTGTGCTATAATCAAAAGATTGAAGTCTAATTTCTAAAGAATGAATCTGTTTACATGTAATTGATAATAATTTCAAAAAATGAATAGTATTTCGTGTTATGGGTTCATTATTGACGATTTGTAATCTTGTAAGTTGACTTAATCCATATTGTGTTTGCGAAAAAAGTTCGGTTGAGTCTAGAATGTCCAAGAAATTAAAATATTGATTGAAATTGAGAAAACGTAGATTTGTTGAACCCCGAAAGAATAATCGTAACAAAGAATTTATTAAAATTTCCATTTGGTATGGGTAGTAACCGTCGTAACTGCTTTTTCCATACCATTTATGAATTGTGGAAGCTATACAAACTTCTAAATCTTTTAAAGACAATTCTTGCATATAAATTGGATAATTGAACGTGGTTCGTTTATTTGAAGAAGGGATCTTTATTTTATAAGGTTTTAATAAACAATTTAATAAATTATGTTCTTGACTATCAAGACATAAAAGAAAAGTTCTTAATAATTTGTAACAATCTTGATTTGATACAAGAGCAAATGGTCGAGTCCATAGGAATGGTACAACGTTTTTACACCAGTATCGGTTTACAAGCAGAGAAGGATGAAGTCTTGCGCTTTCCATTTCGAGAACATGTTTGAATATTTGTTCCATGCATTCTGTTGGTAATAAAGGTGATGGAGCTTTTGGAACTTTTATTGCTTTTCTCTTGGACATTATTCTACCCTTTACATGTCCAAATAATAATTTAAATATAAAACAAAATATCATCATTATTATTAAAAAGAAAAAAATTATATTATTAAAAGAAAAAGAAAAAGAAGATAGAAAAAAAAATATATATATAAATTATGAGACGGAGAAATTTTTTTTTAAGGAAAAGAAAAAAAAAAAATTTTCAAAAGGAGCTACACTTTATGATTTATTGTCCATTGTTTCGTGTTACGTGTGGTTTGATGAATATGCAAAATGATGCATGTAAGTATCGATATGGATTATTGTTAAAATTGTGATATACTAATCCTCCACATGATTATCGTGATAAGATTTTTTTTTTGAATGATGCAACTGAAAGTTGGCGCTTTTTTACTACTTTACTGCGGGAAGTTTCATCTTGTGCATCGACGAATTATAGCGTTTAACGGAAATGACTAACCCAACTAGGTTTGTCCCTTTTAGTCCTCGATTGTTGTGGCGGTGCTTATTCAAAATATAATTAAATTTCCATTTTTATCATGTTACATGAAAGCCTATTGATTTTTTAAACGATACACAAGCACAAATCATTTTGGGGAACCTTTAAATTAGGAATATTATTTAAAGTATTATAGACCAAAAATAATTGTTTTTAATGAAAGACCTAAGTTTGGAGCTACACGGGACGGCCGATCCCGAAATTCGATCAATTGTTTGATCGGTAAGTCTCTTAATTGAAAAAAGATTAAACAATTTATCTACTTGCAATACATTTTTTATTAGATGTCAATCAGAAAAAACTTTATAATTTATTTTGATATCAGGCGCAGCCGTGATATCAAAGGCTGATCGTGAAAAGATTTCTTTAAAAGGAACATAATAACATGAGTAACTTAATGATTATAAACATAAGCCATAATTGATTACAGGAACACGATTAATGATTGTGCCGTGTTTGAAACATCATAATTTGATCATTTTTTTTTTTTTTTTGTTATGCATTAAATTTAAATGTTTGCATTTTTTCACACTTTCATTTTGCCTTTATCAAATTTCCAAAGAAAGCGGTCACATCTATGTAATGTAATGTAAGAAAAAAAATGAACACAAATCGGTTTAGAATATTTAATTCAAGAAATTTATTGGTTTAAGAATTTTAATTATTTTTCTTGTGAATTAACCATTAATCCATTAATTTAGCAACTAAATGAAGTAATATTAAATTCATATCTTTACGGAGAACCATAAAGCAGTTTCCCATTGAAAAAAGAATTTTTTCTTTGGCCATTTCAAACAAAAATTTCGTTTGCGTAAAAATGTTTCAAATCTTACGGTTTTACTCCTTTGAATGAGGCGAGATTAATAGAGTTCCTATTTCCTCGATCTAATAGGTTAACCAATCAGTTAATAAATTCAACTGACAAAAAATTATTTGCAAAATAAACATGCAAAGATAACAAAATGATAAATAAATCTCATTTATATTACTATATTAGTTTTAATCCAAACATAGTAAAAATACCTATTTCGTAAATACATTAATTACTACCTTATTTTTTTTTTTTTTTTTCAAATAATTTTTTTTTTTTTTTTTTTTTTTTAACGTGCGGTAGCTGTCTTACAACATTACAAATTACAAGATAGAGAGTACAAAAATTTCTATTTAACAATAAAGCCAAATCAAAATCAACC